CACTGATAATAAGAATATATCGAATAATAAATCTTCTTTTGGGCCGATTTATTATTCATATGTAAAATCAAATAATCATCACGTGTTTATTACCACTGGTGTGCATGCAATTCTGTTAAGTATTAATCTTCCTTTGGGCCGATTAATATCACATAAGTTACATGCACATAATCTTGTTATATTTTGAAATAAAATTAATTTTCACAAAAGAGATCACTTTGGTGACATAATATTTCAATTAAATTTATCTCAAAATATATATTTAAACACCTATATTTGAATGTAAATTTGCGTAAATGCACTGTAACGTTAACATATTTATAGTTAAATAACTTAATAAGCCATTAGCCAGTTGGTCTTGCCTTAGCAATGGTCGGGTGCATTTTCCACACTAAAGGTCTAGTGATCAAATTTCATTAAGACCCTTCCCTCCTTTTTTTAAAACAAAACAAAATATATAGAATTAAAATATTCAACCAGCAAGTGGTGGTCGGGTGCATTTTCCATACTGAAGGTCCAGTGATCAAATCTCATTAAGACCCTTCCCTCCTTTTTTTAAAATAAGACAAAATATATAGAATCAAAATACTCAACTAGAATTTGAACCAAGGACATCATTCATCCTAGCATTGCAAAGATACTACTAAACCAACACACCGTTTGTGACTAGACACGTCTGAATAAATTTAAAAACTATATGTGTTGTATGAATGCAAACGAAACGACATCGTTTAGGTCTTCTTCTTCACATATTCGAAACCAAAAAAAACACATAACAGAACAGTGACCTGATTCTATATTTCCTCTTTAACTTTTTAAAAAATGTATAAAATCAACCGTATGTCCAAAAATTATGAAATTTATATCGTTGGACTCTTAATGAGATGTAGAATTTTTCGGTTGTAAAATATTTCCAGAAATATTAAACTTGTCAAAAAGTATTTTTGGCCCTAAAAAAAAAATTTCCTAACTTATTCTCAACAATTTAACATGAAATGACTTTGATATCATATGTAAGATTAACTTCATTATGTGAAAACCAACACACAAACAGGAACATTCATATTGAATCATCAAGAATTGAAATATTGGATTTGCGGAAGCGTACCTGAATCCATAACAAAATATTGAAATATCTGAGTCTGATCCTTTATAATCTTCTAGTTCTACACTTGTTTTATGTCTAAATTTCTATCTGACAATGAGAATCAGAAGAATAGAAAAAATCAGTGTGTGATTTGGGGGACCAAGACCTCTATTTATAAACAATCGTGTCTGTTTATATGTAGTCACGCATGTTCGTAATTTTTATTTTAACCTATCATAAAAATAGAAATTATGTTTGTCTCTACACATTAATGCTCACACTTTATAATATATTAATTAAGACCCCAAAACTTAAATTAATCACTTTAATTAGCCTAACTTTATTTGATAGCCTATAATTCACATTTATTTAATATATAAGCCCAAATATTTAATTTTACTCCAACAGGCCGGCCGAAGGGCAGAAGGTCGAGGTGCTTCAGCCAATTGAAAGGTACGCCACGCATGCCTCCACTTCCCATATAAGCCACCTGGCAAATCAGGTGTTGCCACGTGAGACCCATAGTGGAAAGCTCATTCTTCCTCCCTTGCAACCTCTGCCAATTCATGGAGTTTCACTCGCTATTGAAAACTGGAAAGAGGGAATCACAATGTCTATCAACTCGCTTCTCACTGAGTTTGGTCCCTTTTCTTTCCAGTTGGTTTTGACGAACCCATTCTATCTCCGATCTCCAAGATGTCTTGGGTTGAATGTTCACACCTAATCCACCGTCTGCATTTCCTACATTCACTCTTAAAAATTGAAATAGAAATTGTAACATCCCGGTTTATTGTAGTCAGTTTCGCAACATGCTTGACTCGCGAGTATCCCATCTTCCACGACTTTTCCTTTTTCGGGCTGTTACATTCAAACAATAAAACCCACTTTAATAAAAGATTAATTCTTCACATAATCAGTGATACAATAATGGTGGTGGTGGTGGTGGTGGGTGGTGGTAATGGTGGTGTTTTTTAAATTTTAGAAATGTTATATCATAACACACAAAATAATTCTAACTTATTTTTTAAACTATCGAGTTTTTGTTCTCAATTTTCAAAAAGCAAACATAAAAAATAACTGGTCAAACAATTTCTAAGATACAAACCAAATACGGTCTTAGTTTTAAGACTTTTTTCTATTTCCATGAAAAATAATTGTGAAATTTGTTTTAAATGTTGATTTGAAGCTCGAATTAAATTCTAGTCCAAAATTTTTAGTTAATTAAACTTGAACCACCCCCTAGTTAATATCACTCGTATTAAATAGGAAAACCTGAGCCCAAAAAACAAATTGCATCACAAAGAGATGAAATGGACAAAAATTTGCAACTTTCACAAACCGCATATAAATCCGTGAACTATGAAATCCATGCATAATACCTTGTATGTACTATGTAGACTTTTCATGTGTAACCATACAAATTTGTTGTTGCACACAATTAGTATACTCGTGAAATAGGTTACAAATCTCTCTCTCTCTCTCCCTCCCCTTCAGAAAAAAAAAACTTCTCTCTTTCTCGATAGACATGACTTGCTCAATGGTAAAGATCATGTTTAACTCGAATCTTAGCAATTATTTCGGATTTTTAATTTTGATATGGATGGTCTATCTTTGACTGAATTAACTGGTTTAAACATTCTTAATGTTTTATTTGATACAATGAAAAAATCTTAGCACTAAGACTCTCGCTTGCCTATCTTTTTTTTATCTCCCTCTTACACAGTGGCATTGTTTGCTATTTATACTTCTTCTCGTTAGGGTTTCGCTGTGGTACATTTTCTAGCTATTTTTGTGATCCCTTCCTCATTTGTATTGTAGTTGAATCTGTCACCTTGATGTTTTTTGCGCGCATTACGCGCTAGAATGGAATGCATGAAATATCTCCACTATCGGTGAATATTCGCCCGATAAGGGTTGTCTTAGATTTACTTGGTCCCGAGCTCCAAACTCTCAAATAAATACTTATCGCCGAACTTGTTAGCGCTGAGCTGGCAACTATCCGAGGCTGAATGATTCTAGGCTTCCCATGGAGTTGGGTTGTGGTCTAGTCCGGGTGTTTGGTTCGTCTTTGATGAGCCCATAAGAGATTTTGAATTTAAAAAGGACTTAAACTTAAATCTATCATCCTCACATACCGTATTACATCAAAAAAAAAAAAAAATACACCGAATGCCGAGCATTTTTAAACACGTGTTCGGTACATGCGGATCCATAAGACACCTACACTCATGCTTTTGCCTCGTCACACGATAGAGTCTGTAACATCTATCTGCCTCACCAGCCAGTCCATGTAGAATTATACATAGATAATATATACGTAACGTATATATTATCAATTTAATCCTCATTGTACTAATTTTATCCGTTTAGATTCTAAAACATTCAATTCATGTCACTTTGATTTCTATACACAGACTATTAAATTTTTAACGGGATGATTACGTGTTGAAGACATGATACTGCCTAAAAAAATGACACATAAATATTTTTGTAAAAAAAAATTTGTTAATTTATATAGAAATTAAAATGACACGAATTAAATATTTTAATAATAAAATTGATATAATGAGAACTAAATTGATAAAAAAAAATATAACTAATTGTACTATTAATCCTTTTTTTTAATCAATAATACTATTTCTTATCATCAGTTTAAGGCTCGAGATTATTGGATTGGAATTCATATATATATATATATATGAGAGAGAGAGAGGGGGTGTTTCCATGGATATAGAGGATTTATGCGCAGCCTTTTTTCATTGTGTTTGGAGCCGAATATATGTATGTTATTTATTTATTTATTTTATTTTTTGACTGATGCATATATTTTATTTATCTACTAGATACTATGAATACATTAATTTATATGTATTTATACTTTTTCCTTCCTTTCTTTTTTCCATCTATACTTATTATAATAATAATAATTATTACTATTATTATGATTATTCCTACTTTCTATTTCTCCTATCAAACACAAGGGAGGGAAGAAAAAATTATTTTATTAAAAGATAGAAAATAAATCATTCATCTTTACCAAACACAAAAGTATTCTTTATAAACAGGGAAAACAAATTTTGTCAATTTTGAAAACTATATTGTGCATTTTTTTTTTGTTTTTATTTGGATGTATAGGTGATATATTTGTATTAGTATACAATGCAATATGCAATGTGTGTTATGTTACTATTGATGTTATCCAGAACTAAAAATGTGGCTTAATATAATTACGTAATGATATGTCAAGTAAATGTGCTCTCAATGAAAGTTTAAAAGTTGTCATAATAATACATTAACTATCGTCAATCAAATTGAACATGTAATAGTAAATAAAAGACGAGACACAAAGAGTTAATGTAGTTCGACTCTATATCTACGGACCGAATGCTCAATGGGCCACTTCGATATATTACTCACATTGATTGATTACATGGGGTTCAATCTTATTAATAGAGTGTGAATTACACAAAATAAAGATAAATAAATCATGCTTGTTATTATTTGCATTTGCATAAACAAATTTAAATATCGATGGATCTCTTTGTATTTTATATATCTACTTTGATATTGATGGATTTCTTTTGATTCTATCGTATCACTAAGAGCAATGTTATTTAGACATAATTTATTAACTTAATTTGTTGACCTAATCACTCATAATCATTGGATTGACAGTGGACCCTAATATTTGTTGGAACTCATTACCAATTCAATGATTGTGATGATTTAGTTGAGTAAATTAAGTCAAAATAATATCAAAATCCCATGAGTTTTTTTTTCAAAAACATTCTTTTTGCTTAAGAAGCATAGTTGTCAAAACTTTCTTATAAAATTGTTGCTAAAAATATGTCATTTCTATATCTTTTTTCGAAGAGCTTATGTTAATGTTGGTCATAGGCATGCTTTGAAGCACATGAAAGGAGGCAGCTCCATCATCAGCACCACATCAGTGACTGCATACAAAGGAAATCCTAAGCTACTTGACTATGCATCCACTAAAGGGGCTGTTGTGGCATTTACTAGGGACCTTGTACTACAGCCAGTAGACAGAGGCTTACGTGTAAACGGGGTAGCTCCCGGCTCGATCTGGGCTCCATTGATTCCGGCATCATTCAGCGAGGAAGAGGTTAAGAATTTTGGGTCTCAAGTGCCAATGAAGAGTGCGGGTCAGCCTATTGAGGTTGCTCCGTCGTATGTCTCCCTTGCCTCGAACTCAGACTCCTCCTACATGACTGGCCAAGTCCTCCACCCCAATGCTATGTCCTTGAACATAGTCAACAACATGACTAAAACGATGTTCCACATCCATTCTGTTTATCTTTGTGCTTTGTTATTGTTGCTGGTGGAATTATAGTGAATGGTTGATGCGACTCATGGGGGTGGTGCCTTCTTTCTTGGTTGGTCTGTGTTTAGATCAGGTTATAATGTGTATATTACTACTGTGGTATGTGGAGATAAGTTCTTGTATGATACATGTTTTTGCATGCAACATAAGCTAAAATATGAATATGATGGTAAGGGAAGTTAGCAGTTCACAGTTGCAAAAATGACTTGGCTGGGGAATAACACCTTTTTATTTATCTAATGGTTTAGTCGTTGATTAGCTCTCTGGTTCTTCAATTAAGGAATATTCAAGTTTAGGGTTACAAGGGTGAAATGGGGACCGTGAACTGACAAAAAATCTTATATCTATCCATATTTCTAGTAAAAAAGTACACTACCTACAAATAGTACTTAAAAATACTCGGCCCAAGTCTAGAACAATGTTTTACGAGATTGGGGTAGTGTAAATCTTAAGTTAACAGAGAGGGAATGGATGATGAAGTTAAATCAGAGACAATGTGTAAGTGGTTCACCCTAACTTAAAGACAAGGGTTACGTCCACTGCAATGGAGATACTTGCTTCGTAGGATTTGTATTGTTTAAAGAAGAATATTATAATAGGTTTCTTAACTTAGAGTTAGTGTGAACAGTGTCTTGTGAGTATAGGTTTTTTTTATATATCTCCCTCTTTTACCGTGTGAGGGTATTATATATACAAATAGTCATCTAGGGTTTTTTTCTAATCTTATTCTTCCCTCAGTTGATTCTATGATCCCCTCATTTTTTGTCTTGTAGTGGTGATCGTTACTCTGACACAAATCATACACATGATCCTTCAATGAAATGTACACAAATATTCCTTTTTCTAGTGAGTATGTATTCGTTAGTGGCTCCAGAAGCTGTCCTCTTGTCCCGTGGACATGTGGCACGATGGAAAGTGTTCGAGATCTGATGAATATCAAGCTCCTTGTTCCTGGTAGGGATGACAGTGGATCGAGAAAAAATGGGTATTCGTCCAAACTCGTCCTGTTTGGACCGAGAAATGACTATATGTATTGAATGGTGGACGTATACGGGATACCCGTACGGGGATGAAGGTGGGGATGGACTTATCCTTACCCCCGCCCCGCCCCTCCCCTCCCCCGCCCCGCTACTCCCAAGCCCTAATTAAACATATTTATTGTAACTACCAATCTAGAAATATGGTAATCAAATTAACAAGTGACATTGTTATGTGGTAATCTTATCAACTTTTTTCCCTGATTGTTCTTTTTTCTATTTGTGCTCACTGATTGAAACTGTTAGGAGTTTAAATTGACCATGCTCTAAAAACATATAAGAGAGAGTAAGATAGTTTTGTATTTCATCGTGAGTAGAAATATTGTGAATGGAGATTAATGAGTTTCTCTGCTATAGTGAACTAAGAAATGGAGATAATTATTGAATTAGCGAAATTTTAATTTTTTTTTAACACTTTATAACTGTAATATGAATTGTAATAACAAAAATCTTTCTAGAAAACTGCAAGTGTAGTGCTATCGTTTTCTTAGTTCAATTTTATTTTCCTTTTCTTCCTTTCTCTCTAATAGTTTCGTTTCTCTTTTTGTGGTCCAATGACACTTTACATAGAATACTATATTGTTTTGTCTGTTATATTTTGCTATTTACATTATGTTGTATTAGATTATGTTAGATTATTTATAATGTTGTTGGATTATTTAAAATATTGAATTTATTTAAAATTTTGGATTATACTATTTGGGCTTGAGGTTAGGCTTGGATTTGGGCTTGGCCTTAGGCGGGTACAGGAGAAGCGGGGACGAGGATGGGAATTAGAAATTTACCCGCAGACGGGAATGAGAATAAAAATTATACCCGTTAACGAGGGTGGACTGGGAATGGATGAAGTTTTTTTAAGCGGGTACGGGGATGAAGACTGTACTCTCTGCCCCCGCTTCAGTCCATTGACATCCCTAGCTCCTAAGCTCCTCGCTGCTGAGCTTGTCATGACCGAGCAGGAATGTGCCGACCTAGACTTTGTTGGACTCTCTTATTTGAATTGTGACTCATTCCTATTTCAGAGCAGATAGGTTGCGGAGGGGTCACTTGGGCTGTCATGTAACCATTAGGCCCATTGGATGCTCTAGGTTTTAGATGGGTAGCCCACGGCAAAATTCTATCATTATTACCTACAAAATAAGTTGTTTTTTACCTTAGAAGTTTCATGCTATGTAAGTTTCAGTCTTTTTTATTTCACATCTATAAAGATTTGTGTTTTGATTTTTGGTTGTGTAATTATTTGTAAAATTCAATTTAAGCTCAAGTTGTCTTGCTACCCATCCTCGCTAATAGTTTCTGCTTGTTGATTACCAAAGATAGGAAAAGTAAGAAACAATGTTCTGAAATTGTAATTGAGTAACCAAATAGATAATTAGAATCACTATTCTCTTTTTGTCGTGGTGGTTCAAATAAAAATAATGAAATTGTGGAACACTTGCGCTTTAGATTTGAATGGATTAGTTTGTTACAGATATGGGATACATAGTTCAGTATTCAGCCATTAATTTTTACGTTGGTTGAATTTTTGGAAAAATATTTCACGAAAGTATACAATATTTCATCATTTCAAAGATTTTAGTGCAATGCACGTGTGCACTAATTAATACAAGTATAGGTCCCCTTCAAAAAAAAAAAAGCCAATGACTTTTTTTTTTCTTTATTCAAACAGTTGTTTTGACTTATTTTTAATGAAATTTATGATTAGCACAAAAAAAAAAATAACATATACACACACAATCACACCCATACCCACCTATAAATGTGACTATAGCTAGTTTTTATTCTTTTTTTTTTGGTTTAACGGTCAGAAGTGTTTAGGTCAACTTATGCGCATTTTGATTAATCTTTTCGCATGTTCGGTCAAAGGTAGAATATCCAAGCTGGGATTAAGGTATTTATGATGGATAAATTCCTCCTTTTCTAATCCTAAGGGGTTGTCAAAATTCGAATTTAAGAGGTCTAGGTATGCAGCTCGTCTATGTTATCTTTTGAATTACCTCTTGAAATCATAGCTAGTTTTATTCTTCAGTTCTTGTTTGTTATTTAATTTATTCCTTGATGCTTGTAATGGGGTACGTTCCTTGTCTTGACAGAATTTTCCAGAGAAAACTGAGAAATAAAGCATTATTTCTCATAGTAAAGACAATGACATCCAAAAAAAAAAAAATAGTGAAGTAAAGAGGGTAACGTATAGAATTACTCTTACCATTGTATTTATGGAGTGAAGTAAAGCCTGTAACTCATAGAATTACTCTTAACCAGTTACAAAACTTGATGAGCCATAATAATGAAACTAATAAATAAAAAAAACTCTATTAAGTCATATCGTGTCGACTTTTTGGAAAAACCCGTCTTCAAGTGTAATTAATTTATTTTTTAAAAAAACCAAAAACGATAAAAATGTCCACCGCCATATATTTATAAACCACCCATCTTAAACAACAATAAACAAAGCACCACCACCCTTAACCTTGATACAATACAAGCAATGGCTCAACTTGTTGCTTTTCTAACCATTTTCTTTGCAGTTTTGGGAACTTCCATGGCTCACTTCTCCAGCCACTTCGGCTTCGACCCCTTTGGTCGCCGCCACAGCAATTATGGCAACGACTATGGCGACTACGGCAACCCTGAATATTGCTCGGACATCGCTCCAAGGTTTGCATTGTGTCAGGGCTTCGTTGAAGGGAGCGACAGCTATCCGTCACCTCAATGTTGTGAGAGCCTCCAGCAACTTAACATGATTGCTAAGGATCAGAGCGGAGGTCCGACGAGGATCTGTGAGTGCATTGAGCAAATGGGGAATAATGAGTACAAGAAGTCCCTTGTTAAGCATGTTTTTCGTAGTTGTGGCATGCACAATAGCTTTCCCATTTCTAACAACATGGACTGCTCTAGGTACTCCCCTCTCTCTCTCTCTCTCTCTCTCTCTCTCACAAAATAGTAATGCTATACTTAGCAAAACATTTATCAAAAAAGTACTTTTACCAAATAAGTTTGCAATTCTACGTCCAATTAAAAATATTTTGTTCAATATTTGGTGGGTTCAAGAGTGATATGGAGTTACCAACTCATTTCATAAAAGTTTAGATATGCATAACATTTTTCCTCTCAACAACATGACCAAAAATACCTTTTTTTTTGTTTCAACGGTTAGGGGTGTCGGGACTACCTTATGTGCGCTCCAACTAATTCTCTTTTCATTTCGGTCAAAGACAGGTCATCTACGTTGGGACAAAAGTATTTATAAGAAATAAATCTCTTATAATCTAACTCCAAAAGATTGTTAAGATTCAAAATCAAAACATCTGAGTTTATAATTCATTCCTATTAACACTTGAACTACCCTTTAAAAAACATGCGCAAGTAAAAGCATTGTTACTAAAAACTAAATTGCCATATTTTCTTGCAGCATTTATTAGGAGATCGATGCCAACGGGGAATTTCATAAGTTCATTTACAAATTGAAGATGTACTTACGAAAAAAATGTGGTTCATGGTGGAGCAAGAGTCTTAGTGGGGGATTCTAAGGCATCCAACCAATTTGAATTGAAGAAAACATGTTGGCCATTATTTTGGCAAAATCTACTGGTTTAAATAATAATATTTCTATGATTTTAAGGTACCGTTATAGTTTTTGTGTTGTGAAACTCATCGAAACTTGGTGGATGTTTTTTTTTAATTGTTTTTGTTTTTTGTTTTTATGATTTTTATGTTGATATGAGAAACCAAAGCTAAACAACAGTTACACCCTAAAACAGCCAAAGGTTTTGCACTAGTTGTTTATGTTTATCAGGGTCTAAGATGGCATAGAACTTAACATATTTAGGTCAACTTACGTATATTTAAACTAATCTTTTTCTCAATTCGGTCAAAAGTAAGTAAATTACGTTGAGACATAGCTTGACTTCAAAAAATTATTAATATTTAAATTCAAGATATTTAAGTTTACGATCCATTTTTATTACTATTTAAACTACTCTTTAAAATTAAAAAAAATTGGGATATTCAACCGTTCATTTCATCGAATGAATCAAAGACTTGAACGAACAACGTCGTTTTACACCTTTATCCATTATATAAAATCTTTGCCTTAGCTGGCCATGATAAGCCCACCCGAGAGAGCCGGATTGGGCATTTTCGCTCAAAGTAGGCATGTTTGAACGCTCTTTAAGAGTCCAAGTGAAGAATGCCAACCTAAGGGCAGAAGGTCGAGGTGCTTCAGCCAATTGAAGGGTACGCCACGCATGCCTTCACTTGTCAAATTTCCATATAAGCCACCTGGCAAATCAGGTGCTGCCACGTGAGACCCATAGTGGAAAGCTCTTTCTTCCTCACTTGCAACCTTTGCCAATTCACGGAGTTTTACTCGCTATTGGAAACTGGAAAGAGGGAATCACAATATCCAAGCGGTCGTCTATCAACTCGCTTCTTACTAAGTTTGGTCCCTTTTCTTTTCGCTTGGTTTTGACGAACCCATTCTTTCTCTAATCTCCGAGATGTCTTGGATTGAATGTTGACACCTAATCCACCATCTGTATTTCTTGTATTAACTCTTAAATATTGAAATAGAAATTTTAACATCCTGTTATGTTGTAGTCAACTTCACAGCATGCTTGAGTATCCCACCTTCACGTCTTCCCCTTTTTCGGGCTGCCCCACTTTTAATTCTTCGGCGGTGGCGGTGGCGGTGATAGTGGTGGTGTTTTCTAAATTTTAGAAATGCTGTATCATAACACACACAAAATAACTCTAACTTATTTTTTAAACTATCGAGTTTTTGTTCTCAATTTTGAAAAAACAAACATAAAAAATAATTGGTCAAACAGTTTTTTTTCGAGAAACTATTTCCGAAAATATAAAACAGTTTCTAAGATACAAATCAAATACGGTCTTAGTTTTAAAACTTATTTTCGATTTCCATGAAAAATAATTGTGAAATTTGTTTTAATTGTTGATTTGAAGCTCGAATTAAATTGTAGTCCAAAATTTTTAGTTAATTAAACTTGAACCACCCCCCTAATTAATATCACTCTTATTAAATAGGAAAACCTGAGCCCAAAAAACAAATTACATCACAAAAAGATGAAATGGACAAAAATTTGCAACTTTCACAAACTGCATATAAATCTGTGAACTATGAAATCCATGCATAATACCATGTATGCGGACTGACATGTGTAACCATAGAAATTTGTTGTTGCACACAATTAGTAAACTCGTGAAATAGGTTACAAATGTCTCTACCAAAACCCCTCTCTCTCTCTCTCTCTCTACAGAAAAAAAAAACTTCTCTCTTTCTCAATAGACATGACTTGCTTAGTGGTAAAGATCATGTTTACCTCGAATCTTAGCAATTATTTTAGATTTTTAATTTTGATATGGTTAATTTATCTTTAGCCGAATTGACTGGTTTAAATATCCTTAATGTTTTATTTGATGCAATGAAAATATAGATAGATGAAAAATTTGAAGGATTGATAGTTAGAAGATAGATAAAACATCATGTTTGGTAATAAAAAAAATATGAAGGATGAAAAACTGGTTGGATTAAATTTATTTTCAACTCATCAAAATCAATCTCTCAAAAATTTGGAGGAAAAGTTAATTATGTGTATTGAAATGTATTTTATTTATCTATATACTAGTTATAACCCGTGTCTGAGAGCACGATGAAACATAAAATTTGAACGCTAAAAAAAAAAATTATTTCACTATATTAAATAATAAATTTTCTTTGTTTATCCATTATTTTCTTAAAAATATCGACATTTTTTTTCAAAATACATATTTTGACAAAAATTCTCAACATATGTATATTATAGTGTATGAATAATATATGAAATAAAAATTATATTAAACTATAAATTAATTAAATATTGAAATAATTGGGCATGTGATAGAAATTAGTGATGTGATATTTTTTGGGAGAAAAATATGTATGGAATAAAATTCAACTTGTGAGCTATCTTATTATATAGATTTTTTGATATATGCATATATCATATTTATCAATTACATATTAGGCATACATTAATTTTATATATAAATATAATGATAAAATATGTATTTATATTTTTTTAACAAAAAAATTAAAAAATACTTTTTCATCTTTGCCAAACACAAAAAAATTAATTCTTCTTATATTTTATGCCTTTTACCAACACAAAGAAGGGAAGTAAAGATTCTTCCTTTGAATGTGTATCACTCCCACTTTCTATCTTTCCATTTTTCCATCCGCCCTATCAAACGGAACATAACTATGGATGCAAAAAAAATTTAAAAAATTAAACTTCTATACAAAAATTCTCCAATCCTATTTTGAGTTAATATCACTTTGTACCTTGAAAGATGCTCAAAATTTTAATTTGTACCCTTAAAAAATTGAATTCTTAAATAGCACTCTCAATGTTATAAAATAGACGCAATGTAACCCAATTCAAGGGTTAGATCACTACAAGAAAAATGATTTTGCCCAAGGAAAGTTTTGCCTAAGAAATTAATTTTGTAGGCAAAAAGCCTTGCATCGAGGAAAATATAATTTTATCAACAAATATTTGATCAATATTTTTCATTTCAAAAAATAAAATAAATAATTATTAAATAAATAAAAATAAGGTATCATATAAAAATTTTGAGTTTTTTTTAGGCCGGTGCTAGGCCCAATAAGATTCCTAAAAAGTCCTCTCACCAATTTAGTTTTGAATTAGGTCTCCGTTGAAAAGTTAAAATAATGGACATAACTAACATCTTTTAAAAATTACAAAATTAACAACAATATCATCACATAATTGACACACACCTATTCTAAAAGCTTACATCAACATAATGTATCTTCTTGTCTATAAAATGCATATCGTCAAATAAGTACACTAAAATACAGTTAATAAAATAAATCATTACACAAGTACACTAAAATACAATTAATAAAATAGATCATCAAATAGGTACACAAAATTGTCATATAGGTATACTAATGCTCTCCATAAACACAGATCGCCAGATAGGTACACTAAAATATAGTTAATAAACACATATCGTCAAACAGGTACACAAAATCTTAATAACAAACTCAAAAAAAAAATTAACTCAAAAAACACGTCAAAATTTCCTTACTTTGCAAACTTGCTTTTATGGTTGATTGGCAAGAAAACAAAAAAATGAGAAACTTATGTTTGTGTGCTCATGTAAATAACAGACAGAGACGAAGAAAGATGAGACCAAACCCGCCTAGATCTCAGAAGGATTGAAATAAATTATTTGACGGCTTAAGTTCGTCACCTCAGCACTCCACTCATTTACGTTAAGATATTTGTTTGGATTTACTGTGATGTTCTCTAAATGCTGGAGAGAGAGAACTAGCCGAGAGTGAAATTACCTCCTTTTCTTGGATAATCGATGATCACTCATACAGTGTTTATGTTCGAATGAGCAAATAGGTGCACACATAGGGCTATATTTATACATATGTATATAAAAGTATAAGAGAAAGAAATTAAATGTGCTTCATATTAAAATCACGTGATAAGGACAAAATGAGTAAATAAAACCCACTAATCACCCAACCTCCCACTACGCGCTTGCATAGGACCCGCATCCTTTCTTTTAAATACTGATGATCTTTCTCTATACTAAAAATATTGTTAGATTAAAATTAGTTTATAAATCAAAAGAGGGACCTTAACGTAATTAACTATAAAATTTTCTCATAGGCCCGTTTAACTTGGGCGGCCCCGAAAACTGCATTGACACAAAACTACGTTGTTTAGGCCCAAAGTTTTTAAGCTAAACCCTTCAATCTCTCCCTCCATGCAATCCTTCTTCTCTCCGAACCATTCTCTCTCTCCAATGCAAACGAAACTCCGTCTTCTCCGTCGTTCCCTCTCCGTCCGTCGATCCCTCCTTCTCCAAACGCCAATATAAAGGCAGTCTCTCATCTCTTGCCTCCTCCTACTGCATTTCGTAAACCTAATTCTCTCAACTCTTTGCCTCTCTACTTTTGTTGTTCTGTCACTTGCCGACACGACCAAAGGAAACGAAGCAATGGCCCGTAAAGGAGAGGGACCGACGATCGAATCGATATCAGACCGACATAGTCGTGCGCCGGTGTTTGGCAACGGTCGCATTGAAATCATCTCCAACGACCAAGGAAACAGAACGACGCTGTCTTCGGTTGATTCGAGAGTTAGAGCTTGAATCTGCATTGCGTTGGACTGATACCTAGCTTGAATTGACATTGTATCAGGTCCCAATCAGAGAGAGATTCTCCCAATATAAAGAAAAGAAAGCTAGGGTTAAAGATCTACCGTGATCCAAGGTAAATTCTCCTCTTTATATTCCTAATGCGTTCTTTATTCAAAATTGTATACAAATCTAAAATTGATTAGTGTTTTAGGAGACAATTCGTCGTTTTGAGCTGGAGAGATGTCTTTGATGATTTTAATTGCTTCGTTGGGGATGTTGAGAACCATTTCATAATGTAGTTGCGATTTTGTTGTAATTTGGCTTTAGTTATAGTTGGATTTGGTTATTCTAATCTTGAACCTCTGTTAGATATGCTGTGGCTTGTATGGATATTTGGAAAATAAGAATTGATGCTTTATATTTATTGTTGTCACAGCCCGAGACTGTAGGTGTTGGCCTAATGGCAGGACAAACGCCGCATGCCCTTAAGCTAAACCAGTCTCAACTCCCAAGGATATGCTAGGCATCCTACCAATGAATATATCTCAGGTTATAACTTTATAATACTTGACCAATGATATATAGGTTGATGTAGCTAAAAGAGCATGCTAAATAATCCCAAAATGATAAATATTCACTTTTTGAGATAATCATTAACATTAAAACCAGATACAACTTAACTACAAAAGAGATTTGGACTTTTACATTGCCTCTAAATATATATAGCTTAACCTCATGAACACTCCTCTCGAACTTGTCACCACGAGTTCAATCATCTCCATTCTTAGAATCCGAAACATGTTAAGATTGGGTGAGCTTGACGGCCCATAAGTGATAGTCTGTCTTTACTAGTTGGACAAGCCATGCATTTCAAAATAACAGTTCAAAACTTTCACAAATGATTCAAAAAACGATCTTTGAATCTCAAAGATTTCACAGTTTGGTAGCATCAAACATCATACAATTTATCAATCAAATCATCACTCAACATTCTTTAATGGCTATGGTCATATTCACCTGTGACCAGGTTCGTAATGCCATGTGTATCTCCTTTATTGGTCGATGTGCCCAAACGTCACATTAAGCAATGCAAGATCAGATCCTAAGTCAAAACTAGATCCTAACCAATGTATCTCCCCCATTGGCTATTAGGTCCACTCGTCACATTAACCCGTGTGAATTCAGGTCAGATCGTAGTCATCTGTCTATATATTCACAAACCAAATAACCCCTTAGGATGTGTTCGATCATAGCCAAAATGAAAGTTAAATCAAAACATCCTTTAACAAATAATTTCACAATCTATTTGAAAATCATATGCCATGCCACAAATAATAGAAATTATAGTTTATTCTCAAAAAAATTATTGCATCATATATGCTAAGTTTGCATTTTTCAAAAAATCATATAATAAAACATGGTGCAATTATTTCAGAAATTAGTTTACATTTTCAATCAAAATGCACTATACATTGAAGCAAAAAATACATTTAGTAGAAAAACACTAGAGGAGGTAAAAAAATTACTTATCCATTG